ATCTTACTGTGGAGAATTACCAGTGGGAGGATGTGGGGGGAAATTCCAGGATGGCCAACCAAGGGGCTATTTAAAATATCGATGAAGATCTTGAGGAAGTGAGTGACCACTCAGGTGGTTTCCAATATTTGCTTTTAATGAAATTGAGTTGTTAGTTGGTAGATCATTAAAAATGAATTTTGGCAATAAACACTCCATGAGTTTTGGCATATAAATTCAGAGGAGTTCAAGTAATTGAATATAGAAGGAATTGCTCTTAAAATCAATAACAATTGAATATAACAAAACTCTTTCCACTGCCCTCTGGGTACATATGTGATCAAGAAATCTCGCTTTAACTTTATAAACAGGAGGAGAATTGATCCTACATCATTCTAGCATTGGTAAAAGGATCCTATGGATAGATATGTTCTTTGCAGTGAAGGAAAGCTACAATGATCAATTTAAGAGATTTATTTCTAATTAAATTTTTTACTTTTAATATTTAACAAAATATTTTGATCAATTGTGTACTAATAGAAATTGTATTGATAAGTTAATCCAAAAGTCAATTTTTTAACACTTAGAGCCTTCCTGTCCAGGAAATTTAAAAATTTGAATTTCTAAATACATTTTTATTGCAGAAAATAATAAGGCAAATAATTTAAAATCTTTCAGCCATACCAATATATTATACTGGTATGAAATTTTTAGGAGAAAAGTGGACCGGAAATGTAAGTTTAAGTGACTGGTCATTACTATCTCTCTCTCTATGTATATATATATATCCGTGTTTGTGCATATATACACAAAGATATAGATACAGATATGTATATGGAATCACTAACATATTTATGAATCATTGGATGTATTTAAAAGAGTAAGGTAATAGTTTTATTTTAAAATGTTTATATGTTACGAAACTCTTTAAACTGAAAGTGAAAAAAATTTAGATATAGCTTTAAATACATGAGAGTGTACATAGTTTTTCAAAATTCTAGTAGGGAAAACACTGCAAAGAAAAAATTGAAGATCCCCGCTGTGAACCCTCCATGGCACCAGAAGGTGTGGTCAGATTCGCACCAGACCTGGTGGTGACTGCCCTTTCTACCTCTCTGCACATCTGGAGTCTAAGACACTCTCGCAAGACTTCAAGGAGGATCGCTTTACCTTTGCAGAAGTTCTTCCAGCCAGAAATGCCCGATGCTGATCCTTTCTGTTCTTTGACGCATATTCCATCTTTTAAGACCCAACTTAAGTTTTACCTCTTCACGGAGCCATCCTCCAACACGATCTACTGGGATTTTATTTTTTCTGGTTTTTTATTGCACCATAAACTTAACATATGATTTCGTATCTTCTAACGTTGCCCTTGAATGTTGTGTATAGTTAGTCTTGGCTTTATAAGGATATGCGGTATTGTAGTCCCTCCAGGGTAGGGACCCCGTGTCTCTGGTTTCTCCTATAAGACCTACTCAGCACAGTGAGAGGCACTTAATACACACGTGATCAGCCTGCAGCTTTGCAGGGAGAGTGGGGACATCACACTAGCCCCAGCAGAATTTGTGGGGAAGGAGAAGTCGCCCTTCTGTAGTGGCAACAGGTGGTGTGAGGCAAAATCATGGGTTTTGGAGTCAGACAGTCTTGGGTTCTCAAAACTGTCTCCACTACCTACTGGTTCCTTAACCCTTCCGAGCCACAGACCTCTTTTTCCAAAAAGAGGGACACCATCTGTGGGGTGCTTATCATGGGGCCTGACACATAGTCAGTTAAAATGTACGTGTAGAGTAGTTGTAAGACAGTCCATTCATTCTCATCTTCCTGGGGTTTGTCCTGGGAATCAATCAGAACACAGCAAATAATTTTGACTCAGGATCAAAATTCATTAGTAAATAGTGTTGTTGAGGAAAATAAAAAGGCTCATATATAGTTTGTAAGGCAAGGATGTGGTTTAGATCGGTTCAGATGTGTCACCCTGGAAGACCAAGTCCGTCTGAGTGAGCCTGCTCTTCATGTCCCCATGCGGTCCGAGGGGGCCTGAGAAATGCAGTTTGCTGTCCCTGGGTCTGTTCTAACTGGTCGTGGTACTGAATCTGACAGCTGAATTCAGGTGCCGGGGGCTCCTTGTGCTTGCTAAGACACTGGCATGGTCAAAAACTGTATTAGACTTTCAAAATCTCTTATCTCTTTGACCTAAATAATAAGAAAGAAAAATTCACTGAGCTCCTACCCTCTGACTTATCATGAAGCTGGGGTTTTCATAGTTCGGCTCTGAGTGCGGGGAGGTTTCTCCTGACCCCCTGTCAATCCTGCTGTGTCCCTTCCCGCCCTCCTCACCTGGCCCCCATTCCTCTCCTCTCTGCATGGTCTCTCTCCCTCACAGCACATCCCTAACTTCCTTGCCTGATGCTTTTATTACTGTCTTTCCCATCTGCTGGACCGTGAGTTCCACAAGGGACTTGTTTGCCTCACCCCTTTGTACCAGTTTTCTAGCACACAAATGACATGGGTAGGTAAGCAGTAAATAGTTCACGAAGAATGAATGGGTGAATATGTGAATGAAGGTTGAAGTTAACCAGCTTAGTGCTTTAACCATAAGAACTCATTTAGTCATCTGTCAAGTATGCTGAGATTTGCTGATTGACAACATAGTGCAATTATTTGCAGCAAGTTTTCTTGCCTGTGAAGAACTAAATCAGATTCAAGGTAAATTAACTAAAAGTTGAAGGCCAAACTACGTTTTGACATTTAAAGGCAACTGTATAATTAAATACCATTATATTTAGTAAGAAAGTTTGTAAACTAAATATAATGAACAGTATTTTATTAGAGTCAACTTATTATGTCACTATCTTTAGGTTTTTAGATTTCCTTCTAGGAATATAATCAGTTAAAGAAAAGATAATATCACTGTTCAGGTAAAAATTTAATAAAGTGAAAATAGATTCTTAGTTCTGAAGATAGCACGCCTAACTTGATATTTTCCTTGTCTCCAGAATTACCTAGTATAATCTGAATTTAAGTCCATTGTTTGCTATTCTATCACTACTTTCTGAAATAGTTCCTGCTACCATATTCCACAACCCACTCTTCCTCTTCCAGTCGCTTACATATTTACTAAACATTCACTCCTTTATTCAACAAACATTTATCGAATGCCATGTGATCAGACACCAAGTATAGCACCCCCCTAAAAATCCTGCTGTGGTATCAATGAATTTAACTGTGTCCTGCTGCTTGCTTTCTGCACCTAGGACCTCTTCATTTCACACTTTTATAATTACAGTCACAAAATTTTATAGTGTGAAGGGATTTTCAATTTTATGAAAAGAAAACCAAAGCTAAAGTCTAAAGAGATTATATGAATTGCCGAAGTTACGGAGCTATTTAGTGGGGACCTGGGACTCACTCCAGGCCTCTTGAAAATCTACCCTCCACACCCCCACCCTCCTTCTCAGTCTTATTTCCATTCTCCACTGAGCCACTTTCTCTACAATCTCTCCCGAGCCACTCATTCAACAGATATTCATGCCAATGTGTTCTTGAGAGCTCACAATTTCATTGTCTCCCTCATAACTGCTCATACACCTTGTGGGTTTTGCCTTTGTTAATGTGATCACTCTCTACTCATCACTCAGATTGGAAATCTCCGAGTTACTCTTGACTCCTCTCTCTCCCTCCCTCTTCATATTCAATAAGCTGACAAATTCTATATTGATATTAATTGCTAAATGTCTCTGGAATCCAGACTTTGCTGTTGATACCTTTAAAGGTAGCCTAATTCAGGCCCCATCCTATCTTGCCTGGACGATTGCAATAGCCTGCAAGTTGGTTTCACGCACTGGACTGTGTTTCGAGTTCTATACTGCTGCTAGAATGAGTGTCCTTTCAGAGGAAAAGGAGAACTTAACCGTTGTCATTTTAATGCTTAAAAAGCATGACAGTAACAGATTTATAATTTACTATTTTATACAGGAAAAGGTTTTTAAAAAAAAGACACAAACAAAAAAACCTTAGCAAGAAATTAAAAGCCTTTCTCAGGATGGCCTCATCTGCCCTTTCACACCTTGTCTCTCCTTCGTATCCTCTGAGCACTGGCGTCTCTGAATCCTCTCATCATTTTTAGAGCCTTTAATGGCCTCCATGCTCTGGTATATAATTCTTCATGCTTCCTGGAACGTGCTTCTCCTGCCTGTTCACAGAGGCCCCCAATTCTGTGACTTCCACAGCACATTGTAGCAGAACTGTAGCCGTTACACCTTGTACTGTCTTACGGCAGTTTGCATCTGCAGTCCCTCCAGACACCTAGGGCTCTGCGTCCCGGTCATTGAAGCTCCAGTGTTGGCACAGTGCCCACCACACAGTAGGTGCTCACAGGAGCTTGTTGAGTGAATGAATCACCCTCTGGGGAGAGGCAGAGAAATAAACGAGTAGTGTTGTTCAAGTGTATTTGTTGCAACATAGAGGTGTCAGTGAAGACCTCGGGCACACGGAGGACTTCACCCCCTCGTCAGCAGTCCCCGCACGTGAATGGCTCCCAGGCTGCCATCTGCTGGCAGGTAGAGTAGGGCAGGCCCTCCATAACTTGACTAACTTTGGTCAGTTCACACTGGTGGAACCCACTCTGACTTCGTCTCTGGCAGCTGAGTCAGGCACAGCTGGGAGAAGGCAAAACCAAAAGAGACACTGGCATGGCAACTCCCCACCTTGCTCCACAGTGTCTCTTAGCAGAAAATTTAAGACAATAGCTGCATCAGTGGGGCGGGGCTGCTTTTAGGGCTGTTATTTCTGGCCCACTACAGCTCACAGGCTATTTTCTAGTCCACGTTTTCTTGTATGGGTAAATATATTTCCAGTCCATATCCTGGGGAGGTGAGGCGTTATTCCTCTTAGGTGTTTCAGCTCTTAGAGCCCCTCGGTGGTGCAGACGCTGTGTGAGTATCTCCAGTGGAGGATGTGCGGCCTCTGTGGTGTCTGTCTGCCCTGGTCATGCTGTACTGTCTCCTTTCCTCTTCCTGCAGGGATCGTTTCCATCTCCACCCTGACTGTGCTGGCCTATGAACGTTACATTCGCGTGGTCCACGCCAGAGTGATCAATTTCTCCTGGGCCTGGAGGGCCATTACCTACATCTGGCTGTACTCGCTGGCATGGTCAGGAGCGCCTCTCCTGGGCTGGAACAGGTACATCCTGGACATACACGGACTGGGCTGTGCCGTGGACTGGAAATCCAAGGACGCCAACGATGCCTCCTTTGTGCTTTTCCTATTTCTTGGCTGCCTGGTGGTGCCCGTGGGCGTCATAGCCCATTGCTATGGCCATATTCTGTATTCAGTTCGAATGGTGAGTTGAAGACTAAAACACCCCACTCCAAACCATGTCCAGGGTAGAAAATTTTGTGTGGAAGAGAATCAAACCCTTCCTCCGTGATCAGTGGTTCCCCACAGCGGGAGCAGCTCTAGGGACTTCCCATTTGAGAGAATTTTGTACTATCAGTCACTCTCTGAAGTGATCAATGAGGAAACATTGATTCTCTCTATGCCACTCACCAAACCAGAAAAAGGAAATCAAGGAGTTCTGGACAGACAAAGTCAACAACAACCGAAAAACCCTACTTTCTCCAGCGCTCTTAGAATGAAAGAACTCTAACAAGGGAATTCCACACTTCCTATAATTTTATTCATTCAAAGGTCACGTAAACCACTAGAGAGTAGTACAGATATTTGGTCTGGAAATCACTTTGGAGTCACAAAGGACAAGAGGTGACCACAGGCAGGTTTCCTGTCGGATGCTAGCGAGGACGTCTGTAGTAATGGAGTGTGGGGCACATCCCCATCCCAGTCTCTAACTTCACTCCTTCCTCACTCGCTGCTTCTCCCTCCTCCGTTGTCTTCTTCATCGAAACTCTCCAGTCTCGTGCTCACTCTGCCAAACCCCTCTCTAGCTTTCACCTCTTTTTTTCTTAATCAAACTTAGCCACGTGCATCACTTTAAATCATGACTCATTGCCCTCAACTTCCGTGTTCCAACTTTCTTCATACACAACTATTTTGTAAAAAAAAGAAAAAGAAAAGATTCCCATGTCAGTCCAGCCGTCTGTCTTCTCCATGCCGATAGTCTACCCACAAAGAGGAGCTGGAGAAAAACCACACCGGGTTCCCAGTGTCCATACTCAGATGTCCTCTCAGCCGTGTCTAGCAATCCTTGGATCCCTAGAAGTTCCACTGTTTCTACACCATTGCTGCTACAGATCCCCAACTCTCATTTTAATCTCTTGCCCTACTATCCCTCCCTCCTTCTTATCAAATAATCATGCTTATTTATTGGGCAAAATAAAGCCACTATCAAGCAATTCCTCAACACCTTGCCTCTGTTTGTACAAACCTGTATGTTCACCCTCATTCTTTGACCCCTTTCTTCAGTTACGGGGTAATGGGAAACGTCTCTCAAGACCAAGCTGATCCTAGATTCTGGTTTTCCCCCCAACTCCATTCTCTGCCCCAGCGACCTCTCTCAAATAATAATTTTCTCTTTCACTTATATCTTAAATCCCTCCCTTACTACTCACTCTTTCCTTTTAATATATAACCATGCTAATTTAATTCAAAAGCAAAATCTACTCTCAGCTCCCTCGAGTTATCACTTTATTTCTCTCATCACTGCTAACTCAGAGATTCGTTGGTGGCTTTTGGTGCTGCATCATCACTCATTAAGCATTCATTTCACCAATATTTATTGAGTATCTAGAATGTACCAATTACTTACTGTTAATGGACTGAATGTTTTTGTACTCCCAAAATTCATATGTGGAAGCCTTAACCCCCAGTTGATGGAATTGGAGATAGCCCTTTAGGTGATAATTTGGGTTATATGATGTCGTGAGAGTGGGGCCCTCATGATGGGATTAGTGCCCTTATGGGAAAAGGAAGAGAGACCAGAGTGCACTCTTTCAATTTCTCTCTCTCTCAGTCTACCATATGAGAACACAGAGAGAGGACAGCCATCTCCAAGCCAAGAAAAGATGCCTCAGAATCAAACCTACCTTGCTGGCACCTTGACTTTAGACTTCCCAGCCTCTAGATCTGTGAGAAGTAAATTTCTGTTGTTTAAGCCACTAAGTCTATGGTATTTTATTATGGAAGCCCAAGCTGACTAAGACGTTTACTGGGCTCTGAGGATACAACAATGTATAAAATATAGCCCCTGCCTCAAAGAGTTTGTAGTCTAGTAAATTCACCTAACATTTATTCCTCAACCCATTGCAAATTGGCACCTCCTTCCTCTACCGCACTCTCACAGAAACAGCCCTCATTAGGGTCGTTGATGATCTCCCAAATGTTAGATCCAATGATACATTTCTGTTTCTTTTTTTTTTTATGGCATCTGTGGCATCTGAGACTTGTCGCATTGTTGACACCTTCCACTTAACCGGGGATTTTCTCCTTCCATTGTTTTTAGGACTCCATTCTCTCCTATCTTTATTGCTGACTCTCTGGCCCCATCTTCTTAAGTCTTTCAAGGGCTTTTCCTTGGGCCTCCCCAGCAATCTGTGTTTAGCCTTCATCTCACACTGCACACTAGCCTTGGGCGATCTCACATAACTGCCAGGATTTCCCCTTCTAACAATAGCTTGGTGACTCTGACATCTCAATTTCTCATCAGGTTGTTCTTCTGACCTCTGCCACATCCTCACAGTCAGTTGCCTATTGAACACCTCCACTTAGATGGTCCACAGATTTGTCAAATTCAACATGTGTGAAGATGAATTGGTCATCTTTTCTCCCAAATCTGCTACTCCTCCATTCCTTTCTCAGTGAATGGTCATCATTCCTAGCTACCTAAGCCAGAAACTGGGGAGTAATCTTCCACTATTCCTCATTCATATCTCCCCCCACACCCAACTAATTATCAATTTTTATCTATTCAGCCTCAAATATTTTTCCATATATCCTTTTTCTCCCCCCTCCGTCTTCCAGACTCTATTCAAAAGGATCTTAGTTTTTCTTCCTTTATTCTTGCTTTTCTCTAATCCATTTTTTCCACACTGCCATCAGAATAATTGTTCTCAAATGCAAATTTTCTCATGTCCTTACCCAGCTTAAAATCCTTTAGGAGTTCCACTGCCTTCATGATTAAAAATAAAGCCCCTGAGGCCGGCCCGGTGGCACAAGGAGTTAAGTGAGCACGCTCCACTTTGGCGGCCCGGGGTTCGCAGGTTCGGATCCGCGCGCACACCAACGCACCGCTTGTCAAGCCATGCTGTGGCAGCGTCCCATATAAAGTAAAGGGGCACAGAAGAGGAAGACGGGCACGGATGTTAGCTCAGGGCCAATCTTCTTCAAGAAAAAAGGGGAGGATTGGCATCGGATGTTAGCTCAGGGCTAGTCCTCCTCACAAAATAAAAAATAAAAAAATAAAGCCCTTGAGTGTGACTACCAGGTCCTTCATGGCCATCTCTTGTCTGCCTCTCCACCCTCATTTCTTGACATGCCCTCCCTCTTGCTACCTGAGGCTCCAGCCAACTGCAATATTTCTTGTTCCCAGAACTTGACATGTGTTCCTTACCTCTTTGCCTTAGCACACTTCCTTTGGAACATTCTGTCTCTCATCCTTACTTGGCTACTTCTACTCACCCCAGAAGGCTGAGATCAGGATATTCCTGCTCTTACCCACCTCTGAATCAGTTACCCATCCTGTGTATTCCCATGGCCCTCCCTAGTCACCTCACTCACTGCATGTATCACCTATGGAAGCAGAATGTTTGTGTGCCTGTCACCCTCACCAAATAGTGAATTCCACAGGAGCTGAGACCCAGTCTTATTTATTTCTTCACTTATAGCTGGAATGGTACCTGCATGCTATGGGTGATCAGAGACTGTTTTTGGTGAGTTACAGGCAGAGGGCATGAGAAGGGGAAGTGGAGGAAGTACAAAGAGATTTGACTTTAGACGGTGCGGAAACCTCAACACAGAACTTGGTGCAAGGCTTTGCCTCTGTTTTCTTCTCCGGTGGGGTGACTCAGAGCAGCAATGGACACGTAGCTACTCACTCGAGAATGAGAACTGACAGTGAAGTCTTTGAAAATCTGCAGGTGTCTGGATCAATAAGCACTAGGCATCTACCATTTACATGGGCAGAGGACACTTAGAGAAAATTCCAGGGAATTTGTCTTAGGTGGTTTAAGACCTTTAAGACGAACTCAACTGTGATGAGCTTTTGCTTCATCCACAGCAATTTTGAAAAATATCTTCAATTATTGAACAAAGAGGGCGAAACATGAAGTAGAGCTCTTTATTTGGAAAACATTGAATGAGCTAAGTGAAGGACTAGAGAATGATAAAACAGAGAGGCCAAAGAGAGATAAACGAAAACTAACCATGGAAACTTCACATATACAAGCCCCAAAAATCTGAAACATTAGTCAGGATCTTCTCCTTATACTAAAGAGGAGCTGGGAAAACATAGACCAGTATTTTCGTAAATTAACTTGTCTAGCATTCATGTAATCCTAAGATGCTAAATGAGTGCTCTGCTTTGATAAATGGCAAGAGAGGTTGGGAATTGACTGGCCAAGAAAAAGGTACAGATAAAACTAGTGGGGACCTGGGGAACAGATCATTGAGATGTGGTTCTATTACTAGTTAATTGAAACTCTGATGAGTCAAAAATCATGATTCCGAATATCTTATAGTTTCATAAAAGTATATATGCATGTAAGTATGTTAGTTTCAAATATAATTCAAATATAAACAAATGTTTAATCTTGAAAACAATTCCACAAAGTCATATGGGTGGAACTGGGACCCAACTCCTGTTAATTATAGGAGGTTATCTGTTTTAACCTCTTTTGCTCTCTACTTTGACAGAAGGTAGCTGAGTTGCTGAACACCACACAGGGAGCAAAAGTGGTGACTCTGGGATATGAACCCAGATCTCCTAATTCTAAATCTGGAACCTTTACTAGAACTCCCCAGCCTCCTGAAAAACTGTAGGGAAAAACTTCCACCCCCTAAAAAATGCTGTTCTGAAAATAGACTGTCACATTAAATAAAATAATTTCTTGTAAAATAGAATTGCACACACAGATAGTAATAGTACCAGATATTTAACACCCACTCCCACACCCACATAGTCTCTCTACTCTAAAAAAAAATCAACCATTTTAAATATCCATGTTTTCTTCTATTCTTTGTTAATACGAATACATGATTCTAAAAAGAATATAGTTTCTTAAATATAATTTTAGATGATATCAATAATTCAGATGTACCAATTCAAATATATTTTTAAAAACTATAAGCCCATGTTCTAACTGATTTATTTGGAAATTTTTTTCCTTAATTTTTATGCTAATGCTAGAAATAAAAGGAACACTTAGAGTTTGTTGAAATGCAATAAATTTCCCAGTTTAAAATTATATACTAAGTATAAACAGTATTCCAGATACTTTTTTTAATCAATATATAAAACATTCGTGTTTTTGTGGCAAAATTAGCTTCTTAGGATGGTCAGAAATAACCATTTTATTTTATTTATTTTTTTATTTTTATTTTTTTGTGTGAGGAAGATCAGCCCTGAGCTAACATCCGTGCTAATCCTCCTCTTTTTGCTGAGGAAGACCGGCTCTGCGGTAACATCTATTGCCAATCCTCCTCCTTTTTCCCCCCAAAGCCCCAGTAGATAGTTGTATGTCATAGTTGCACATCCTTCTAGTTGCTGTATGTGGGACGTGGAGTGCGCGCACTTAACTGCTAAGCCCCGGGGCCAGCCCCAATCATTTTATTTAAGAAATATTTATTTATTTATTTGTTTGTTTATTTATTTATTCCTGTATTCCTTTGGTATACAGGAATATGCTCTCCCTAACCTTAATATCACGTTTATAATAATAATAGGAGGAGCTTCTAAAGAACCTTTTATCTGAGAAACTCAAAGAACTTTTAGACTGTGGGCCATTACTCCTCAATACCTTTACTGGGAACAAACTAGGAGTAGATAGATTGATTTTAGAGGAATGGGGCTACCCGGATTTTACCAAGAGCTCTCTTCTGCAACTGAGCCCCTGAGGAAACCAACCACGAACAAATCCCTCATCAAATCCCACTGGATAGTTATTAGCTGTGAATTGGAAGTCATAGTCGTTTCCAGGAAGAATTCCTTTGGGAATTAAGTTCTCATCAAGACCAGCTGTAGGCAGAACCATGCAGAACTCCTGACATCATGTGTTTACTGGCTGGTTTGAGAAGGTGAGGATGATGCTCTACATAAAAGGGTTTCCAGGATCATGGAGAAATTGTTTCCAATTTATCATGATGATTTCAGGCAGTCTTTTAGCAGCTTGAAGATCGAGGCAAAATAAGTCATTGTATTCTTCTTTAAGTCAATTAGAAAACATTAAAAACTATTAGAGGATCTAAGAGGCTGTGTGGTTCCATGTACTATGTGAGAGGTGAGGAGACTGAGGCCCAGAGGGATTGAGGTCTGGACTCAGCTGCAGGTCCCGGATCAGAAGTCAGCCCCCCAAGGTCCCTTTCAGTTCTCCTTCTGTTAAGGCGGGGCCAAGAGTGTGTTGTCTGAATATCTGTCAGAAAAACATCAAAAGACAGTGAGGCTTTCATTTTCAACCCTTTCCTTTCCTTCTCCTTTCTGTAGCTTCGTTGTGTTGAAGATCTTCAGACAATTCAAGTGATGAAGATTTTAAGATATGAAAAGAAAGTGGCCAAAATGTGCTTTTTAATGATATTCACCTTCCTGATCCTTTGGATGCCTTACATCGTGATCTGTTTCTTGGTGGTTAATGGCTATGGACACCTGGTCACTCCAACAGTATCTATTGTCTCATACCTCTTTGCTAAATCAAGCACTGTATATAATCCGATTATTTATGTCTTCATGATCAGAAAGGTAAGCTTTGTAATTAACTGATTGTTTTCACCACATGTGTGGGATTGTTGGAAAATATAATACTTTTATAGAGATTATTCAGAGCAGCTTCAATGATAAAAACCTAAATCAAGAATTTTATAGGAAAGTAAATGCATCGGGAAGAAATGTAGCATATTCCAAAAGAAAATAATAACAATTCTAAGCTTTAGATGGAGGAGGTTCACACTTGTTAGGTATAATTCTGTTAAAATTAATATTTAATTCATCAGAAAACATTTTATGTCTAGTAATACTAACAGCCAAAATCAAAGTTAATAATTCATTTAAAATTCTGACTATAACATGAAGATTACATCATTTATCTTTACAAAACACGGTGAAATAGGCACAAATATTATTCCTTATTTTATTTACAGATTATGAAACAGGTTCAGAGAAGTTAAATAACTTGCCTGATCCAGGAATTGTTCGTCCTGGATTTGAAACTGGTTTGCTTAAATCTCAAGACTCCATGCTCGTACATCCTCACTTGGGTTATAGGTACCGTTAGCAGTTGGTTGGGGTATTTTTCGCGTGCCATGACCAGTGTGTAGGTAAAATTAATGTGGCTCAAGAACTTCCCCTAGATCTGCTGGGAAGCTTATTATCTGTTTCTGTAGTAGAAAGGTTTTGACTTGATGGTTGTCAGCCATGACTATAAGAGCGCTCATTATGACTGATATGAAGCCGAGCTTCTGAGATACAAAGTTTAAAGATCAGAGAATTTAAAAGTTATGAATAATGGTTAATTACAGTATTGGAATTTTAAAATAACAGGTCATATTAATAACAGGCAAAATAACTACTCTGCTCAAGATTTTGGAAAAAGAGGGCACTTTTTAACCCTATAACGTTCAGTGCTAAATTTCTTCTTTCTTCTTATGCTCTTCATCTATCTTGAATGTTGTTGGTTTACCTTCTCCGTGAGCTTACTCTCACATGGCTTCAATCTCCTTTCACGGATGGCCTTTCTCTCTCTTTCATGTTTCCTTGCATTTGTCTATTTCCTTGAAGACAGAGATTTTTAACTTGGAGTCCTTAGAATCTGAGAATTACTTGAATTGTCCTCAGGAGAGCCATTGGAACCCCTGAAATTGTTTATAAAACTTTCTGAGAATACGCACGTGTGAATTTTTCTAGTGAGATGGATTATAACTTTAATTTTCTGAAGGAGAATAAGACCTGCATATTTTAAGGATTGCCACCTCAACAGGCAAAGTACATTTTAAATACAATAACTAACAATTATTTTTTTGTCCTTTCTCTGGGCCAATGGGCTGTAAACCAGTGCTTTTAAAATTTTAATGTGTATACATCACACCTGGAGATCTTGTAAAATAATTGTGCATATTCTGATTCAGTTTGGTCTGGGTGCCCAAGATTCTGCATTTCTGACAAGCTCCCACATGGTCCTGATGTTTCTGTTTCCCAGGAGCGCACTTTAAACAGAAAATCTAAAAGACACAATAAACAAATAAAATGATGGTCCTTATCCTCAAGGAGCTTACCATTTATATGAGAAAACATTTTTTGACATACATACAATATTTAATCCTTATGATAATTTATCTTTGGCGCTCAAGCTGATATACCAAACGATAGTTTGGTGACTAAATAAAGTCTCAAACAAATATTTTTTGTGTGTGTGTGTGTGTGAGGAGGACCAGCCCTGAGCTAACATCCAATGCCAATCCTCCTCTTTTTTGCTGAGGAAGACTGGCCCTGGGCTAACATCCATGCCCATCTTCCTCTACTTTATATGGGACGCCGCCACAGCATGGCCTAACAAGCGGTGCGTCGGTGCTCACCCGGGATCCGAACCGGCGAACCCCGGGCCGCCACAGCGGAACGTGCGCACTTAACCGCTTGCGCCACCGGGCTGGCCCCTCAAACAAATATTTTTAAATGTGAGTATAAATTAAGTGCTGACCTATATAAATGGGTTCAAAGAAGACAGAAATCAATGTAGCTATTTATTATACTTTTCATTGACATTTCCTGATCTGGAAAAGCCCACGTATTACATTTTATTTTGCTCTAATCAAAGGGGATAAAAATTAAATTAAGTAACCTTGTATTTATATGTTTTCTTGGTCATGGTAGACTGACTATTGTAACAAACAACCCAGCATTTCAGAGGACCAACAGGAGAGAGTTTATTCCTCATTCAGATCAGAGTCCACAGCCCAGTGGAGGAGATGGGATCTGCTCCATATGGTCATTTAGGAATCTAGGTTCCTTCCATGTTGTGATGTTACCATCTTCAGACCTTGACCTCCAAGGTTCTTGTAGAAGGAAAGAGCAGGAAGGAGCCTCTGAAAGGAGGCAGAGAAATATGGTTCAGAGTTGTACCCAGGACAGAGAGAAGAATCATGTGTGCTGGTGAACACTGACAGTCTCTGCTGTAGTATTTTTTCTCCAACTGATTCGTAATCTTGACAGAAAAAAAAAATTCTTCACCTAATTAAAGGAACATCAGTGAGTACACCAGGCTGTAAACTCTACCAGGGAGGGCCTTGTCTGTCTTTGCTGCCCACAGTACCCCAGATTGTAGCACAGTGGCTGTCACCCATAGGTGCTCACTGAGTGTTTGTGGACTGAATTAATGTTCAAAATCCCCTAGAGAAATAGATCTAGCTGCCCTTGTAAAAGGTGTACACAACTTGAATCTGTGGAGATTATAAAGTACTGAAATAGTCCTACATGGTCTGGTTAAGAAGAATTATAATAAATAAAAGGCATGAAAGAACCAGGGTTACTTAGCTAGATCTGAGCATTACCACCTAACCCCACACCCACATCAGCTAACACATAAAAAAGAACAACCCAAATGAAACTTAACTAATTTTCTTCAATGTTAATCCAAATTAAGGGCTGAACTTTTACTTAATATTCAACTTTATTCTCTCTCTGCCCAGTTCCGAAGATCCCTTTTACAGCTCGTCTGTTTCCGACTGCTGAGATGCCAGCGGCCTGCGAAAGACCAACCGGCGGTTGGAGGTGAGATGCAGATCAGACCCATTGTGATGTCACAGAAAGACGGGGACAGGCCAAAGAAAAAAGTGACTTTCAACTCTTCTTCCATCATTTTTATCATCACCAGTGATGAATCACTATCAGTCCACGACAGTGACAAAGTCAATGGGTCAAAGGTTGATGTGATCCAAGTTCGTCCTTTATAGGAGTGAATAATGATAATAAAAGATGGGACCTTACGTCTGACACCACTTTTAGATTTCCATTATAAGGACTATTTGGGAGCCAATCCCCATTCTGTGTAATATCAACAGAACTTTGGTGGCCCAGCAGGAGATCTGAACCTCCCATATGCTCTCTGGTCTCCAGAAGCAATCAAGCAAGACAAATTCTTTTAATTTAATGGGTGCTTTACATAATGAAAAACCAATTGTGGCACAAGATGGGTGTCTGGCACCATCAACTTCCAACACGTTGGAAATTTTCATTTCAAATATATTTTTAAATGACTATATTTTCCAAGGCACATAATACATTTTTCTCAAATACGTAGCTGTGAGAATAACTTTGTCTCACACACAGGTGTGAAATAGCTAGAAAATCTTGAATGTTCTGTAGTGTTGGGTCCTATTCAGTCTCACGTCAAATGTTTGACCAAATTTATGAAAGAGACGATTCTAGGATGAAAAAGAAAATCAATCCCCTAACGTTATCTGAAACAAAAGACTGTTGCTGTATGTGTAGTGTGATAAAGTGGAGCTTCAGATGAATGTGCTGCTGAGCAAGCTTTAGAAGACACTACTAAAAAGCATCACAGCAAAGAAAATAGGATGATGAATTTCAAGGTATCCTGCTATATAGGTAATCATACATCAGTAGAGGATGTGCATGGAGAAGATGGTGTTGATGGCAGATGGGTGTCTCCATCTATTTCGTTTCAAACCCGACCATGGCAGTATTACTCTGTCCTTTTAATAATTGCCCACAATTTTGCCAAGAGTTCTGCATTTAGAAAAGAAGTTCCAAGCAAAAAAACCAAACAAACCTACATTTGAAAGGAGAAGAAAGTAAGTGTAGAATGTAGTCATAAAATGTATCATTTAATCTGTATTGCTCTTCAGTCAGTTCACTGGATAATTAGTGGTCGGTGTTAGTGAAGAGGCCATTTTTCCATGTCATTGTTTAGACTACACATAGATTATTAGAATTCAAGGATTTCTTTGACAATATAGAAAATAAACACTGAATCATTTTATTTTATTGCCTAATTTTTATTCTTAGATGACTATCCTACTGGTGTTGAATCTTCATAGTTAATTGTGTTTGAAGGCCTTCTAAATGATTTAGTCAGCCCATTGAGGAAGGAAGAACCAAAGAAAACGTTTTTCCTACGTGAACTTTTGAAAATCAAGCTTATTGCTGGTTCTGCCACAGCCTGTAGCTCAAGAATAAGTCAGTAAATTGCTTCTGAGAGTCTGAAATGGAATAAAATATGGCATCATAGCTCTACAAAGACTGTCTCCCCTGTTTCCTCTCCGCTCTCTTGTATATGTAGATATTTAATTTATAAATAAAACCCTTCCTATCTTTCACTTAGTATGGCATCAGTAGCCTGTTTTGTTTTTTTTTTTAAAGATTTTATTTATTTATTTTTACCCCCCAAAGCCCCAGTAGATTGTTGTACGTCATAGCTGCACATCCTTGTAGTTGCTGTATGTGGGACGTGGCCTCAGCATGGCCGGAGAAGCGGTACGTCGGTGTGTGCCCGGGGATCTGAACCCAGGCCACCAACAGCGGAGCGTACGCACTTAACCACTAAGCCACGGGGCCGGCCGGAGTAGCCTGTTTTTAATATTCAGAAGATAATACTGGCATTTGAAGACGGGGAAATAAAATCAATTCATTTTGTAACTCTCTAGAGCGCCCCGAATTCCTCATTTACATTTCTAGTTTTATCAGGTGAATCTGACCCCTGTGCTTAGGTCAGTTCCATCCAGGTGATGAAAGTGTGGTTTACATATTAGGCAAATTGTAATTTTTAGTCCAGGGTGTTGAGTCAATCCTTTTGTGACCTCTATTGTGTCCTTTAAAGAAAACGTGTGATCAGTGTCTTCCTCGAGGCCTCTGAGGCCTTACTTTTTGAGAAGTGAAAGAAACCTTAGTCATTGCACTGTTATTATTTTTAGAATGACCCAGCCTCAGCGTAGTGATGTGGGGAAGTTGTGTGCTGCACCTTGAAACGGTGGGTGTTTTTTTTTTCAATAATTGCAATGAACACACAGAGAAATTCTACATTGAATTTAATTATGTTAACAAATATCTTCCATTAGTGAATTAAATATGATGATGGAAACGTGATTTTGATCCTTAGTTTTGATTACAGATAAATCAAGTATTTGCTACTTCAAGACTTTTATATCATCTGCTAGTGACTCTGTAGGGTTTGCAGTCCTTCATTTTGGAAGTAAGTGACCCAGTCCCATGGTCTTCTCAAGTAGCCCAGGCGTGACACGGAGTGCATAAGTAGGTAGGTACTGCCGATGGCTATCAGTGTTCCAAAGAAAAAGAGTCCTTTGTTTACAACCTGCAAAAACAGCAAGAACTCTCATTTTATTTGTCCAGAGATTAAAATCTTGAAATAGACTTCATTCTTCAAAGACGTTGTATACAATTTCCTCTTTGTTCTCTAACCTGAGACAGCATGACCACTAGGTCAAGTCCTGCAATGCTAGTAAGGTCGAGAACTCAGAGCTTCGCTCGTCCCTCTCCCCTTCTCTCTCTCTTCCCAGAAGCACCTCATTCTGTGTACTGTATAAGGAATTCTTCGCAGTCAGCCTTTGTACAGTTAACAAAAAACTCCCCACAGTTTAGAAAAAAGAGCTGTGAACTCTTAGAAGAGTCCTGTGATGAAGCCACAAACGATTCAGTCACTGCTCAGACCCTGCAGAAAGTCCCCATGAGAAGAGAGATGGGCCTGGTGGCCTCTGTGACTCAGAAGAGTCTTTACCACCTGCAGTATATCAACAACACAAGGCGAGGCTCATTCTAGCCTGGGTCAGGCGCCCTGCTGTACCATCCTGACCTTTCTCTCACTGCACTTACTGTCCTGCATTCCAACTGCCTGTCACTGTCTCTTTCCCCTACTAGGTTGCAGCTCCTTGAGGGCCAGGATCCTATTTTATTCATCTTTGTATGAATAAGTCTAGATTCCTTCCAATCCATTGTCTGCACAGCAAAGTAGTCTTTCTAAAACCCACACCTGAGTCCGATAGCCTCCTTCGGTCTCCCTGATTCCCTCAAAATAATATTCTTGATGTTTAAGGCCCTGCTCACCATTCCAGCTCCACCTCTGGCCCTCGTCACATGGACGTGCTGCCTTCCAGCGCCGCCGAAATACTTGCCATTCCCTCTCCGGACATGGGAGAGGTTGCTTCAGTCTCCCCGGACCTGGCCCACCCCCGTTCCCTCCAGGGGCAGTGTGTGCCTCTCCCCTGCAACTGTCCGTCTCCCTCCCTAAGTTGTGTGAAGGGCAGGGACTGCTTCTTATTTATCTCCGTGCCCAGCTCAGTGTCTACACACTAAATAAAACTCTGTTGAATGAACCAAGTTGTACAATTTCCAAAGTGGAAAATCAGGAATCTGAGTGTCCACTTGGTGTCATCAACGGGTCAGCAGCCTAAAATGACTGTGGCATAGCATTACATTGGAATTAGATTGTGTTTTGTAAGTGTCCAAATTAAACCCATAAGAGTATTGCATGAAGTAAAAGTCAATGGCTAAATAAAAGTAAAAAGTCACATTGCTAAAATAAAGTAAAAAGTTTAGAAATATTAGCATCAATTTCTTTTTTTGAATTTCTTCCCTTCAAAAGCTCTCTCTCTGCCTCTTCTTTGTAATTTTGTTCATCAGGCACTCTGCCCTCTATCCACCCAAGACATTTTTTATTTTCAGGCAAACCTTTGGTGTCTGTCACATCATGTCTGTATTTGCCTGAGGGAAACATGACCATAATACTATAAACTTCAACATATCAGATTAAAAATAAAAGTGTAATCTGTTCCAACCTTTCTTTGCCAATGCCAGCGCAGCACTGCCTCATGGTATCTTATTCTGGAAAAGGTGACCTGTAAGGAAGTTTACAAAGTATTCTTTAATGGCTAACCAGATGATTAAAATGAGGAAAAGTCTTAAATCCAGGTCTTACCATGGTATAGAGAGGGATAAAGGTGGATGGCATAATGGTGTGAAGAAGTCTCTCGATGTTCTTTCGGAAGATGAACCACCTTGAGTTGACATGTGCTCGCATCTGGAAAAATGTAAGAGTCTTATAGAATACCATGAACTAAGTACCGTTATTTCTTGACTACACTTATTATTGCTTTTCATTCCCATTCATCACAAAGCCAGACACAAAGTGGTTAAATAAACTCATCCCCAGTCCTTTTTAGTAAATGTCGATGGTATAGGACATTGCCCTGAGAAGGAGGAGCACTTGAACAAAACCTGTTAGGGAACTCTGTCTTGCTAAGGTGTCGATATGAGAACTCTATTTCAGCAAAGGGTTTGTTTAACCGGATCTGTGGATAGTCCGTAAGCCCAAAGTTTTGACTAATTTGCGTTGCTTCCTGGTTGGTTTCGAATATTATTTACGGCAAGAATGGTCTGTTTAAAGCTATATTTGTCTTTTTTTTTTTTTTTGTGAGGAAGATCAGGCCTGAGCTAACATCCATGCCAATCCTCCTCTTTTTGCTGAGGAAGACCGGCTCTGAGCTAACATCTATTGCCAATCCTCCTCCTTTTTTTCCCCCAAAGCCCCAGTAGATGGTTGTATGTCATAGTTGCACATCCTTCTAGTTGCTGTATGTGGGATGCGGCCTCAGCATGGCTGGAGAAGCGGTGCGTCGGTGCGCGCCCGGGGTCTGAACCCAGGCCGCCAGCATCGGAGCGTGCACACTTAACCGCTAAGACACGGGGCCGGCCCCGCTATGTTTGTCTTGACCTAGTCCATATTCAGGGCAAATATTGTGTTGTAGCTGTCTTGTTTTTTAGGACACAGGCAAGATACATCAGTGAAGACTTGAAGTATCTTATAGAACTTCGTTCACCACCTATGAAACAATTCTGCTCAAGTTGAAGTCCACTTTCTTTCTTTCTGTCTTTGGGAGATGTAGAAAACAGCTACACTCTTTTCTTTAAATTTATCTTGTAAATTTTTTCGTTTGATTATTTAAAAACTATAACCATAACCATTTATCATGAGCTTTTCATCTGACTGGCTCAAAATGGAATTGTGTTCTTCTTCTGAGCATTAATCTTCTGACCATGAATTTCTTTGGTATTACGTATTTTTTTCAGTGCTTAAGGCCACGAAGATAGCTGACAGTACTCTAAGTTTGTAGCTTATAATGTTAAGAGTGGAAAGGTCATTTAACATTTCTTAGATTTTCTAAATATGTTAACAAATATCAAAGTTATATTTTCATTAAAATAGCATATTACCAACTCTACTAAATATCCAAGGTTTGAACCTGTGAATTATAGGAGACCAAAACCACATATTTTGTCATCTTTCTTCCCGCCTAATTGTCCCTGAAATGTAGAGAGATATGATGTATGTGGGTCATTGTCACCGTCTCCGTAGTCACAATCCACCCACGTGTAAGGAATGTTGTCTGTGTGTGTGTGTTCTTTTCATACCTATTCTTATGCGGCGTGCATGAGATGGGGCTGGAGCAAAGAAAAATTAAAGAAAAGAACGTTTGTTAGAATATTAGTGATTGATCTCGTGGAATAAGCCAAACTCCTCACTCACCTCTATGTAATTGTACATGGATAGGTCTGAAATTGCATGGTCATCTGGAATTCTAATTCTTGAGAATTCAGGAAGACACATACCTAGAAACCAAGTTAAATAATACATCATTTCCAGAACAGTTTACAAAAATGTGCTGGACTCTACAGGGGCCAAATTAAATGGTATATTCTCTACTAATGTTCTCTACCTTTTAAAACTATGGGTAACCAGGCTGGATGACTAGCAGTCTACAAACACTGAGCAATAACACACAGGCGTTTCCTATGGTGATTAAATAAAAATTATGATAAAGTTAATATTATACACACTTGTTGACTAGTAAATCATTATTTTCCTTATTTCACAAATGGAAAGCAGTTCCTATAAATGACTATAAATGACCCCCAGTCCTGCTTAGAATTTGCTACTCTCCTTTTATTCCCCTTCCCACCCCATGCACATTTGTTTCATTGTACCTAAGACATCTTATTAGCTTAAACATCAGCTCCCCCGTTATTCTGTGAGCT